TACCGGGGCATGGCCGAAAAGATATCCGACGACCAGGTCGAGAACCTGCTCCGAGTGCTTCGCTCCGATGCTGCCGTCGACGCCAAGGTGAACCATGTGACGGCGATCAAGTCCGGCATCAAGCAGCACAATGTCCCCGATCACCTCGTGCCTTCCATCTTTGACGCTCTGCGTCTGGCTTCGTCCTCCCAACATGCCGTCCTCGTCAACGCTGGCTTCACCTCGCTCAACCACTTGCTGACGCGCCTCTCGCGCCAGGAGCCCAAGTTCCTCAACAGGGAGCTCAAGGCCACCCTGCCGCTCGTCATCGACAAGCTCGGCGACCAGAAGGAGAAGTTTAGGACCCTTGCCGCTCAGGCGCTGACCACCCTGTACGCCGTCGCGCCCGCCGACGTCGAGCGTATGGTAAGGAACGTTGCCATGGCGGGCAAGAACCCGCGCGCGAAGGAGGCCGGCATGCAGTGGGTGCTGCAGATGCACCAGGAACAAGGTCTGCAGTTTCGCGGCTACGTGCCGACCTTGATGGATCTGCTGGAGGACGCCGACGGCATGGTGCGCGATGTTGCCAAGGCCACCGTCATTGAGCTGTTCCGGTATGTCTGCCTATGCCCCCTACAAACACCAGAAAGCTCTGGTTCTCGCCACTGTCGCTAATCCTTGCCATGCTCAGCAACTCGCCCAATGCCGCCAAGTCCGATCTCAAGCGCCAGCTGAAGAACTTCAAGGTCCGCCCGGCCATCGAACAAGCCATCGTCAAGGAGCTGCTCCCCAGCGGCACCCGCCCCGAGACGCCCTCCGACATGGCACCTCCGAGTCGACCGACTCTCGCCGCCAGCACGTCGGCCCTGCCGAGCGAGCGTCCCATCACTCCTGCGCCGGACGTCCGGACCGACAAGGCGGAGCCGTCCTACGTGAACACGCAACGCGAGCTGGAAGATATGCTTCGGGACATGCACCTGCATTTTGAGGGCAGGGAGTCGGAGCAAAACTGGCTGAAGAGAGAGGAGAGCGTCAAGAAGCTACGCCGGCTGATCGCAGGAAATGCGGCGCAAGATTTTCGGGAGCCTTTCCTCCTCGGGCTCAAGGCCCTCCTCGACGGCATCATCAAGGCCGTCAACTCGCTACGCACAAGTTTGTCCAAGGAAGGCTGCGCCCTCGTCCAGGACATTGCCCACGCTTTCGGACCAGGCATGGACCCGCTTGTCGAGCTGCTCATGCAAACCTTTATCAAGCTCTGCGCCGCCACCAAGAAGATTGCCTCGCAGCAGGCCAACGTGACCGTCGACGCCATCGTCGGTAGGGCCTCCTACAACAGTCGAATCATGCAGCACGTCTGGGGCGCATGCCAGGACAAGAACGTGCAGCCGCGCACGTACGCTGCGGACTGGCTGCAGACCATCCTCAGGAAGGAAGGCCACCACAAGAGCCACATTGAGCATAACGGCGGTGTGGAGCTCTTTGAGAAGTGCATCAAGAAGGGCCTCAACGACTCAAACCCCGGCGTGCGAGAGAAGATGCGCGGCACCTACTGGGCCTTTGCCAGTTATTGGCCTGCCAGGGCAGAAGTGTGAGTGGCAACGCAAGGCGGATCAACGATTGCACAGACATCACTGACAGACGACAGCATCATGGAGAACCTCGACGCAACGGCGCAAAAGCTGCTCAACAAGGACTCGCACAATCCCAGCGCGGCAAAGAAGGTCGAGGAAGGTCCTGTTCGACCCGGCATGGGCCTGTCGAGGAGCACCATGGCTACCTCGTCAAAGCCTAGTCTAAGAGAAGCCATGTTGGCACAGAAGAAGGCCATGTCTGGCCGAAACTTGCCCGCAAGACCAGGATCAGCCATGGCACACATTTCACCCGCGAGGACAGTCTCGAGCAGCTCCAACGCGCCCCCCGCTGCAGCCGCTACATCAGCGGCAACGACACGTCCTCGTCCCGAGTCCACCGTATCTGGTGGCATGTCTGTGAGACCCATGCGGCCAACAAAGAAGCGGCCCGAACAACCCCAGCGTCCCGCCACTGCTGGCCCCTATTCGGTCCGGGCACATGAAGGCCCGTCGACCGAGGCCTCGAGCCCGCAAAGCCTCAAGTCGAGAACGAACACACCAAAGGCCAAGATTGAGACCCCGCCGAGGCGGGTTCCTCCTAGGACGAGACCCGGGCATGCGTCTCATGTTAGTGAATCGAGCCTGCCATCTCCCACAGCTAAGATAACTGCGACGAAGACGGCCGCCTCGCCACGGGTCAGCCCCGCGAAGCCTCAACCCTCGCCGAGGGTGAGCCCGGCGAAGCCAGCGCACGCGCCCATCACACTTGCAAGCAGTCCGTCTAAAGCCAATGAAGAGCTGACTTTGCTTGTCCCGAGCGTCGAAAGCCTGAGCCTGAAGGACCCGTCGCCCGCGCCCGAGCCCGAGGAACAAGAGCAGCCGCCCGAAGTCGAGCCCGCAAGTCCAGAGCCGCCTGTGCCCATCAAGTCCGCGGAGCCCGAGGTTCCGACGAGCCCGCAGGTGGCGCCAGCAAGCCCAGAGATTGTCGTGCAGAGCCCTCAGAAGGAAATCAGCACGACACCGTCCAAGACGCTCAAGGTCTTCGAAGATCCATTCACCGAAGAGGACCAGACAACTCCCAAGCCCGTCATCGTCATCCCCGTGCTCGAAGATAGGCCCGTCAATGAGAATGCCGGCGTGCCGGCGATCGGACAGCTGAACCCCACCGGCCTGCCCGAGTCCCCCGATAAGTCACGTCAGAACACAAAACTCTTGGAGAGCGGCATCACGCGGGTCAAGGCGCGTTCCCTCGACGTGCACGGCTTCCGCAAACTGCAGACATTGATTCGCGAGAACCGGGCCGTCTTCACGGACGAGAAGTTTGACGCGCTCCTCACGGGTCTCTTTGAGTTCCTTGAGGCGCCGCTCGAGACACTCGCACCGGAGAAGGTGCAGGATGTCAAGGCGCAGATTCTTGCGACGGTCAAGCTTCTTCTCAAGAAGGAGAGGGACAGCTTCCAGCCGCACGTGGCGCGGGGTCTCGAGGCGCTCGTAGCCTCGCGCAGCGCCTACGACTCGCGGACGCACATTGTCAGCGGTCTGGAGCTGCTGGCGGCCGAACTGGTGACCATTGGTGATGCGCCTGAGATGGTCATGACCATGACGAAGCTGCTGGGTGACAGCGCCGACTCGACGACCGGGGGGTGCCGGTGCCTCAGCATGGGGCTCCACATCCTCAAGGAGGTTCTCGAGAAGCGAGAAGGCTATGTGCCATCCGAGGGCGAGCTCGGGCAGTTGACGGGGCTCGCGGGACGGTGTCTCGAGTCGACCGAGTCCGGGGTCCGCATGGGCGCCGTGCAGCTGTGCGTGGCGCTGCACGCGCGCATCGGCGACGGGCCGTTCTGGGAGGCCGTCAAGACGACCAAAGACGATCCGAAGAACCTCATCACATACTACATTGCCAAGCGCCAGCGCGAGCAGAACGGCGTCAGCATGTGAACCCGTCCGTCCGCCAGGGAGGACCAGGACCGGGGCCAGGAGCCTCAGCTTTCTGCTGTTTTGTTCAAAAGGCACTTTGATCAGGCGTTGGGATGAGCGACAGGGAAGGAAACAATAGGCGACTTTTCATTGTTGTTTGGGGCGTATATACGGATGGCCGAGGGGCTGGCCGGTTGGCTGGCTTTCAAATCCCCCGTCCCGTGGCCTTGCTTGATCGCTTTTTTCGTTTGTTCTACCTACTTCGATATTGTCTTCTTCCTCTTCTCCCTCTTCTTCTTTTTTGCTTTAACTTTGTAATCCTCGACTTGCGTAGAGCTTTGTAATAATAACAGTCGGGAGATGCCGTTGCATTATCTAGTCGCTGCTGTTGTTGGTAAATTGGCTGACAACCAAGTCAAAAGGAGAGCCGGGAAAAGGGTCACTCATGCCACTTGTACGTCACTCGAGGGGGGGCCAAAAATAGGAGGCCGAACCGACCTGTCATTTATGCACACTAAATGTCTACCGCCTATAGGCCGTTCGAGTTCGGGGAGGGACCAAGGAACGGACTATGGATGCCACGAGGCGCCCGATTCAAAGGTCATTTCGCAACGGTCAGGTGCCCCGAGTCCGTCACAAGAAGGGAGGGGGACCACACAGCATCGAAAAGCAAAGACCCATTCCAAAGGTACCCTCCAGAGAGCCCCAATTGGGAGGGAGACCCATGCGCCAGATGTCGCCGTCGATAGAAGGCCATTCTTGAGATTGTCGGCCCCCTGGCGCGACCCCACCCCCCTCTGGCCCTATTTCCGCGCCCATCCGGCAAGGTCGTACTTCCCGATGATCCCGGCCGCGGCTTCCGATCAGCGACGCAATCAAGGCTGACATGCTTTGAACTACGCCTCTTGTTGACCCTAATTCTCGAGAGCGAAAGCGAGATGGAGGGGGGAAGGGAGTGGCCGCGCGCGCGCGCACCCGTTGTCGGCTTCTTAAGCAAAGCCGCCCGCCGTCATGCTTCACTGCGATTTTCTCTGTGCCTGGAACGAGGTTGTCGTGTGTTATCGTGTGTGACGCGACCAAACATTCGTCCAGGCGAACGAACGGTCGACTTTTGTATATGCGCCTTCATGGTCACCACTTCGCCGCTCACACTGCTCCGGCGCTCGTCGCCGGCCTGTGGCGAGAAGGACTCCCGCGGCCTCGGCGCCGAGCACGCCGCCGCTGCCGCCCCCTACCACGGTCTTGAGAAGAACTTTCATCAGTACCATGACGGACAGCACAGTCGCGACCAGTACGGCTTTCTCTCCGAGAGAAAAGGGTCCGAGACGGGCCTCCAGCTGCGTCTCCTCCGCGCCGCCGATGTCCCGGGCTGGTATGCCGCCAACGGCCACATTCTGACCGGCTACCGTGCCGTGCGGCCCTCGACGGCCGCCTGCGCCGCGAGCCTGACGTCGCTGCATAATGAGACAGCCAACATCTGGAGCCATCTGATGCCCGCCCTCGTCGCCATGGCTGGGAACTACCTCGTCTGGGCCTATTTCGACACGAGGTTCCCCGGCGCGTCATGGCCCGACAGAGCCGTCTTCCACGTCTTTCTGACGGGCAGTGTCCTTTGTTTCGGCGTCTCCGCCGCGTACCATGCCATGTTGTGCCACTCGCAGGCCATGCATGATTTGTGGTTGCGCATGGATTATCTGGCGATAGTCGTGCAGATCCTGGGAAGTTTCCTTTCCGGCATCTACATGGGCTTCTACTGCGAAACCCGTCTGAGAGGCGTGTACTGGACCATGGTACGTCATCCTGTCTCTTGGCCTGTCCGTTCGTTTCACAGGACGCAATTTTTTTTTTTTGACAGAGGCGTGAACCCGTACGTAGATTGGCATCCTGAGCCTCTTGACCTGCATTGTTGTGCTTCATCCACGCCTGCAGAGCAAGGAGCACCGCATCCTCCGCCTCGGCACATTTGTCGTGACAGGCCTGTCGGGTTTCGCGCCCATCATACACGCTGCCACCATGTTTCCATACGCGCAGCTGGACAAGCAGGCAGGCATTCGCTATTATTATCTTGAAGGTGTCTTCCTCCTTATCGGCGCCTATGCCTATGCTGTGAGTTTCTCCCCCAGCATCGCACGGAACAGACACACACACGCACACGCACAAACAGTGCAACAAATGACGGCGGGACTGACGATCCTCTATAGATTCACTATCCAGAAAAGTGGCACCCTGTCAAGTTTGACATCTGGGGCGCTTCTCACCAAATCTTCCACTGTTCTGTGGTGCTTGCTGCAGTGGCTCACTTTTACGGCCTCTGGTCCGCTTACAATTATAATTACGCCAACCCGCGGTGTCCATGAGGATGCTCATGCTGCAAGTGGTTTGCGGCTGGGAATGTGCCGTGGCTGGGGGTAGCCTTGATGATAATGACCCAAACGATACCCTAAGTGGTGTGATGAATGTTGGTAGTAATGCTGAGCTCGTATTGTTCCGTCTTTTGCACTTGCGAATCGTGAAATCAATGGTTCGAAAGATATCAGGTAGCACATGTACTGTGCGGCGCGTCTCCTTGTTGCCGACCATTCCTGGTGTTTGAGTGCTTACTGCATGGCTAACAGTTCTCGAAAAAAGACACGAAGTGACATGACACGGTTGCGTCGCTTTGACATCGTTGCTACTAGCAAACCTCGCATGCACCACAGATTCCGAATGGAGTTGCGCACATCCGATTTGATGGACGATGTGACGCCATGTTACTCACGCGACGGCCTGGGCAATGCGAATATGTCCTGGTGAAGCCACACGGAGATTCCAAACACCTGTCACCAGATTCAAGTTGGGTTACACGCATGACACGCGACAGAAACAGTCATTAGACGACAGGCAACAAAGAAGGGCGGCAAGTGTACCTGCCATCAGCCAGCCAGTGACTAGCGGCCGGCACTCGCTTTAAGACGAAGAATACGACAGTATATCAAGGCGCGATGGAGGGTCACGTCCTCCTTGTCAGGCACAGACAGTGGCGCCTATTGCGAGTCAGTAGGGGGTCTCTAGATCGCAGCTTGTCGAATCGCCAAGGGGTGGACCAGGTCGTGAGAAACGCTGGTGCGATCGGCCCAGGCCGAAGGACGACGATGTCGTTGCCAGAAAAAGCTTCTCTTGAACGCCTCATGGAAACTCGCCATGCTTAGTCTAGCCTACGCCTCCGAAGCTAAAGCTTCCTCGCACGCGTACCCGAAACGTGTGGAGAGGAACGATGTTGTGGATGGCATTGTCAAGGGGCCTGAAACAGAGGTGGAAGGCGGACCCCTTGTCGCCCGCGGCTGGATAACTTAGAAACAAGAAAATGCCAACGTGTTGAAACGGCGCGTGGTTCTACACGAACGCGTTGGTGGGTCTCATTCGTTCGCTGGCGGCTTCCAGTCACCTACCCGGGTGGTGATCTGTGATCATCCACTGCAGACACACACACAGTCTGGTTCGTGAAGCTCGACATGGCCATCTCGACGTTTTTCGGACAACCGCACTGATGACGAGGTCGTCGCGTCGCGTATCGAGATTCAGGTGACGGCCGACGGCTAGGCGAGCAGGCGATCTGGATCAAAGTCAGCTGGAGAATCGGGGAGCTTGGGCCGTGAGGCGCTGGGTTGGCTGAGGGGCTGTCCCAAAAGGGTGTTGAGCTTGGTGCCAGATGCCAGTGAAGAAGGTCTGGTTCGGGTCCTGAAGCTCCAGATGATACTGGGATATGGCAAGACGCCTCACGAGGCATAGCAGGAGAAGGAGAGGGTGTGCCGTGCTGCGGCATAGAGTTGTGAATTGGGACATGTTGTTGCGAGGCCAGGGACCCCGAGGCAGGGAGTCCAAGGCATCCACAGGTCCTGGCCGGTTCGTGGAAATAAAAAGGGGGTCGTCGATAGAGGAAGGAGGTACGCACACCCAGGTTGCTTCCTCACCTTTTCTGATACCTTCCTCACCTTTTGGTGCCTTCCTTACCTTTTGCTAGCTACAGTACCTGCTCTGCCCTGCGAAATGGCACCCTGGCTCCTCACTCCTCTGATCTGCACCCCTTCCATATGTGGCTTGTGCAGGTGCAGCGAGATCCACTTAAACTGAAACATCAAGGGCCTTTCGGTACTGTCACGGCGATGCAGTGAGGGGGATCACCATTGGCACTGGTACTGGCACTGGCACTGGCATTTGAGAACTGCCCACTGACATTTGTGCTCGGGGCTCTGGTAGGGCATCGTTCGTCCGTCCCGGAAGCCCCGACCAACATTCAACAGCCACTGGCTGCGGCATGAAGGCAGATGCCCAGGGTCGCTGTAAATTCTCCGCACCCCCACTGATCCTGAGTTCAAGCTCATCACCCTTTTCAGGGGCTGCGCGATCTCGACTCTGGTGCCATTCCTCCCACCGTGACCGATGGCACAGCACCTCATTCGGCAGCTTTGATGGAGGATGAGACGCATTTCCTTCCGCCAAACGACCATAACGCCTTGAAGCCACACACCAACCACACGCCGTCTGACTGTGTCCTTGCGATGCACTGCCAGCTGGTGGTCCTCCCTCCGCCCTGTCGTAGCTTCAGCCAAGTTCCTCATATCCCTGTCTTCGTTTCCCTTTGATTACCCGTGCCTGTACACACGTAATACGGGCATGCCAGGAGGAGCCTGGAGCCGTGTCCATCCTGTATGCACCTTATTCACCTGAGGTAGGCTGACCCAGAGATTGAAGGGGCGCTTTGCACACCGCCCTCGCGACACAAGAAACCGAGGGCAGATGGGCAGATGGGCAGAGACAAGAGAAGCAAGTCGTCAAAGCCAAGCAACGAGGGAGTAGCTGCCCACCGTGTGGAGGAGATGGACCCTGATTGCCCTTGGGTGGTCTGAGTCGGCAGAGTGACCAGTCAAGACGACATGCCGTCCCTCCTTTATTAACCAAACATAATGATTGCTCTGAATCCCCCTCCCCCCCTGGTGGTACCTGGTGCCTTGTGCCCTGAATTGTCTTGGTGACGTCCAAACCTTGTGCCGCATGAGACCCTTGTCCCTGGGACTGGTGCAAGTAATGAAAAGGGTGTCCTGTTCCCGAAGGTCGTTCAGTCAGGGCGATTCTACAATTGTGAACGAATTCCAGCCGCCGCAGGTTCCCTTCCGGTCGGCGGTGCAGTCTGATAGAAACCCATTCGCCGGTAAAATGGGGAGATGATGTAGCATCGCGTGGAAGGAGGGCTTGAAATGAGCAAGATTGATTTCTGTGATGGTATGTCAAGCCAGATTGATGGACGTCGCCACTGGGTTGATTCAAGCATGTTGCCTCGGCCTTCGGTAGGAACACATCTCGCATCGTCCCCTCACTCAATTTAACTCGGATGGAACCTCTCTTTCTTGAAGGGCAGAGATCGTCACCCTCATACTGTGCCACTGTGGATCAATTATCCCGGTTGTGAATCTCGTGCTGGTGCTGCTGGTGTCCTGGCTTGCCTAAGGTACCTACCTACTTCAGCAGCCCTGGTCACCGTTGTCTGCCGCTGCCAGCGCGCAGTCAACCGGGCTCCACATCCCTCAAGGCACGAAGCCCTTCGCTCTTGCTTGCCCTGAGCTCCTTCTCTCTCGCCCCCTTCTGTTGAAGGCAGTTGTCATCGTCATGGCTTGGGTGCGGACCCTACCCTTCTGCCTTTGCCTGTTCCCCCTTTCCCTCCCATCACCAACATCTTGGTCCACACGGCATCCCTCACCTTGCCTTGACTGGTTTCCTTCGCCGTCTACCTGCTAAGGTAAGGTGCCTACCTGTAGGCTAGTATCAGCCTGGAGCTCTCACCAAAGGAAACCAAGGACCATCATATACGCCAAAAGGCCCGCGCCCCCCCCTGGCCTTGGCCCGACAGAGCTAGCCCGCCTAGTGCTAGCACTGTATCGGTCAAGCAGCCTGCCTATAGTTTCAACCATCTGTACTTTGTGCATTTGGAGCGCTTCATCTCAAACCGCCCCAAAAACCCCACTGCCACCTTGTCGACAGGACTCGAGCCACCAAGCAGCCAGTGTTGAAGGCAACCAGCCGCCTCTTTCCACTCCACCGTCGCTTGGATTGATCGACTTCCCTCCGCTCTCACCCCCTTCGCGTGTTTCCTCTTCGCCTCCAGTCACAAACTCTAGCTCCAGCGTCTCGGGTCACCCAGGCCCAGCGTGCGACAGGACCCATCTGTTTCCCGCACCATCCAATCCATCCCGCTCCAAGCCACCGTCCATTCGCTCATCCACGCACCTTCACTTTACATTGGATGTTAGGGTGCCCCTCTGCCCTGCCGCCTCTGCTTCAGCTGCGCCAACCGTCCCTCCTGCCCTCACCTTGCGTCTTGTCTCTCTGACACTGGGCACCGCACCGCAACGGGCCTCTCATCCCCATCCCCCTCTCCTCAAGGCTCACCGACAGCCCGTTTCTACGCTACTAAGCTTTCCAAGAAGCCAAACCATCCAAGCACCGACCGAGCCGACGCACGATCCCGCCGTCCAGTCGCCGCCGCCACCCACCCCCCCGACCTCCTGGCTTGAGCCTCGAACAGCGAACAACGAACGAGCCGCACGTCCGCTGTCGACGACTGCCTTTCATGCTCTCCGCCTCCCACTAGTCCAATTCGCCTACTCTTCGTCCTTCGCTCGTCAGCCTCACCGTCCATGACGCTTGCCCCTCTGCGTCCTTGTGTCTGACATACGCTGGTGGAACGAAATTCGGTTCCTTCGCCTTTCGCCTTCACCGGCGAGACCAACAACTTTTAGCATACGACATGGCCGCCGTCATGGACGACTATCTCGACAGTCCCATGGACAACGAGGACGTCTTTCCTTGCAAAGGCTGTGGAGATGTACGTCTTTCCCACTGCCCTCGTATCCTGTGGCCCCCCTCTGCTGTCCCAAGCCACTGACCGTGCTGTGCTCGGCCGATCTAGATCCTTGAGGAAGGCAAAGCGTTCGAACTTGGTATGTCCTCGCATCCCTCTTCCCTGCTTCCCATTGCCCTTCCACATGGCGCTACATAGCACATGCTGGCTCCCTTTTTCAACCTCTCCTGTCCGCCCTCACCTCTGGCCATGTCGTCGCTTGCGCCATGCCGTCCATCATCTCCAAGTTTCACCCCGCTAACACTGATGCCTCTCCCTCAGCTGGCAACCGATGGCATCTCAACTGCTTCCGCTGTAACACCTGCGGAACTCTGCTCGATTCCGACGCGAACCTCCTCCTCCTCGGCGATGGCTCCCTCATCTGCAACAGCTGTACATATAGCTGCAATGCTTGCGGCAGCAAGATCGAGGAGCTCGCTATCCTCACCGGCGATCAGGCCTTCTGCGCGACCTGCTTCCGCTGCCGCAACTGCAAACGCAAGATCGAGAACCTTCGATACGCTAGGACGTCTCAGGGTATCTTCTGTATGAGCTGTCACGAGAGTCTCATGGCGAGACGCAGAAAAAAATCCAAAGCGGCAGCACAATCCAAAAGTCGAGAAAAGGACTCATCTCCCATGATCACCGACAAGTCCCTGCCCGCTCTCCCCCCCAATGCAATACCACCCAACGCCTTCTCTGACACGCGCGTTGACCCCGAGTCGGACACACCAACCGAGCTGTCGCCGCGACCTCGCCCCGCCTACCGAAACGATGCCGATTCGCGGGGCAGTTCCCGGCCGGCGCGCTCTCCTGAGCGGTCAACCGAGAACAGTGGCAAAGAGACTGGGCTGGGCCTACCTGCCGCGAGTTACCGGAACAACCGCAACTCGACCATCATCGCCCCGCCGGACCTGAACGGCGGTGACGGCGACAGCTTCTTCATCCCTGTCGCTCTCGATCCTACCCCTGCCACCTCAACCCCGCGGTCCATGTCGGACAACTTTAACGACCCAGCGAAGAAGAAAGAAAAGGACTACTTCAGTGTGAATAGGACCAATTCGCAGAAGAGAACCGAGTCGCAATCATCAACGCCGCACATCGCCTTTCAAGAAAAGGGACGGCAGTCTTCATCAGAACTAGAGCACGCCAAACTTCCCTTGCGCAAGGCTTCGACCGCATCTAGAAGGGACTCGGCCGCTCCTCTGAAGCCCTCGCCCGCCCTTGACGAAAAGTCGCAAAGAACGGCCACGAGTAAGCCTCAGTCGATCAACGAAGACTTCAGGTTGCAGGACGCACCAAAGAGTAAGAAGGCTGCGAGCTCACGAAGCAACACCTCACCCACACTCCAGTCAGACAATGGCAGCGCCAAGGGCTCGAACGGTGTCTCGAGGCGGGAGCCGCCGTCTGAGTCGCCCCCTCGTCCTAGCATTGGTGACATGAGCGGAACGTCGAGGTCTTCTCTTGACTCGAGAAGGCGTGACGAGGACGATTTGCGGCCGTCGCTAGACTCGATGCCTTCATCGCGTCCTGACGGCACGCCCAATAAGCCCATCGCGAGGAAGGAGTTGCCAGCAACGGCTTCACGGAATGGTACGTTTCGAATCACAGACCTTCGCTGATTGATTCGACTTGACTGACTTGCGCCGCAGTTCCATCGAAACCCCATTCAAACTCCCTATCAAGGACAGTGACCGAAGAATCAGCGCCTCCCTCCAAACTGGCCACAAGCCGCCCGCCCATGACTGAACAAAAGCTAAGCGACAGTTACATGCAACCGCGGAAAGCTCCTCCTCACCCTGGAGCGCCAGGGGCCTCTCCTCTGCCCTCTAAGGAGCCTGTTGGTACCCCTGGCGATGGGAGGACTGACGGCAAGACGGACAAAGAGAAGCATTCTCCCAAGCTTCCTAGGTGGAGCTCCGGAGGTGATTTCACTATGGATGAAGATATGGCCAGAATCTTGGGCACTGATGAGGGCTCCTCGTCAATTCTGCGCCGCGTCTCGAACGCCGTGCGCCACGGCCGAACGAACAGTACCGAGGCCAGCCATCCCCCGCAACGCGCCAGCGGACACACTCGTAGCGTCAGTGAGACGACTCGTGGCACAGCTTCTCCCCGATGGCCCAAGACGCCAATGGTGTTGGAGGATCCAAGCCCGGGCCACGAGATCAGCAGTCCTATTTCCCTGCACTCCAGCGACGACCCTGCCTTCCTGAAGCGGCAACTTCGAAACTCGGAGCAGCGTGTGGCGGAGTTGGAGCGGCAATTCAACACAGAGAAGGATCTCAAGCATCTTAACAAGAAGCTTGTGGAGAAGCGAAAGACTGTCTCGACGCTGGACACGCAGACTGAGATCATGATCCGTCAGCTGGAGGTTCTCGCCGGATATGTCGAGAGGGCCAAGGAGACAAAGACGCCTGTCGATCCAAGGGACTTGGAAGACTCGGCTATCAAGGACTTTGTCCAGAAGCTGGACAAGGTGAAAGAGACAATGAGCGAAGCTATCGAGGCTCTTCACGAAGAGCGAGATGAATTGGTTGAGGAAAAGAACAAAGCCATTGCGGATCGAGACCGAGCTCTGCTCGAGTTCGAGCAGCTTTCCTCGAAAAATGCCCAGCTTGCTGATATGAACAATGACCTGACGCATCAGATCCAGGAGCGCTTCAAGTCTCAGATTGGCGATCTGAAGTCGCCGAGCGGCCTTGGCATCTACAGCCAGAACAAGGGCCTCTCCGGCTCCTCACTCAACCTTGCCGGTGACAGCGCCAGCATGACGACGGGCACGACTCTGATGGCCCATGATAACGAGGAGCCAGCGGTTGTTGAAGCGAGGCCTCAGGTCGTCGACATTCGCAAGGGACAGGTCAAGAAGTTCAACTGGAAGAAGGGTACCAAAATGGCACAGAACGTCTCCAAGGGCCTTAACCGCGCCGTCGTCGCTTTTCAACAGGAACGAGAAGGACGGCAGCATCCCGGTCTCACGGCAGACAACATTGGCATGCCGTACAATATGACGGTCTCTCAGGTCGAGGCCCCCGCCGTGATCAACCCCAATGGACCTAACAGGCCTCCTCCTAACCAAGGATTCGGTTTCTTCAAGAAGGACAAGATGCCCAAGTCCATGTCCGCCAACAACCTATCCGCTCAGATCATTGCCGAGGCTCCGTCTGTCTTGTTCGGCTCCGACCTTGTGGATCGCGCCGACTACGAGCGGCGCCAGATCCCCAGCGTAGTGACCCGCTGCATCGAAGAGGTTGAGCTTCGCGGCATGGATGTAGAGGGTATCTACCGAAAGACGGGCGGCAACTCTCAAGTCAAGATAATCCAGGAAGGCTTCGATAAGAACGAAGACTACGATATTTCAGACCCTGAGCTAGACATTACGGCTGTCACCAGTGTGCTGAAGCAGTACTTCCGGAAGCTTCCTCAGCCGCTCTTGACGTACGAGGTCTACGACCAGATCCTCCAGTCCAATGGTGAGCCTCCCAACCAGTATGCAAGATGACCGATGCTAATTCTAAACAGCGTTCGCTGACACGCCGACCGAGCGGTGTGATTTCCTGCGGAAGACTTTTGCATTGATGCCGCAGCAGCATCGCGATTGTCTCGAGTTCCTCATGTTCCATCTTGCTCGCGTTGCCAAACGCGAGCCTGAGAACCTGGTCAGTACCGCAGCCTAGAATACATTGTATCGTTTTGCTAATTGTACTAGATGTCACCCAAGAACCTCGCCGTCGTATTTGCACCCACCATTATGCGAGACACCAGCCTTGAGCGCGAGATGACGGATATGCACGCGAAGAATTTGGCTGTTCAATTCGTCATTGAGAACAGTCACACCATCTTCACCGAATGATTTGAGTCGGAGTAAGGACGCTCACGTCAAGACTCATCCACACGAACCCTTCTGTACATAACTCTACCCATCCACCCACCCCCTCCACGACTTGATGCCCGGGCCCTGCTTCATTTCAGGTTCGTTGAGGAGTTAGCTACTGCGCGGAGCCGGTGGTTTTGATATCCCGCTTGAAGCCTTGGATTTTCCATTGAGCTCTTTCAAATTCATTCGCCTTGTCAAATTCCATACTATGCGTAGAGAAGCGTGACCGTTTGCGTTGGGACAATAAATGATATCCGTGCCGGTTTTTTTGTTCTACTTGGATTCCGTTGAAAGCGATTTGGACACTTAGGAATTGTTCGTAGTGGGGAAAAGTGCCAGAACGGCGTGGCCATCCCGCCAGACACGTGTGTGGGCTATGCGACCCAGTGGAGAGCCAGACTTATGAAGAAGCCGTTGTAACCTGAAGTCTGCGTATAACGAAGTTGCTCATAACGAAAAGAGGACACTGCATTCGCCGCCTGCGGAGCATTCATTGGTCTCGACTGCTTTCTAACGATACCCCCGTCCGTCCCCAAACACCCAAACGCCATCCGTAGCCATGCATTTTTCACAATGATTCGATTCTCTCCAATCTATGCGCCCGTCATCCTCCGGACCTTCTCCAGCAACAGGTTGCTCTCGCGGCCCAGCTTGCGCTGGCCGTTCTCGCCGCCGCGGCGCGCCTTGGCCATGGCGCGGCGGTAGCGCTCGCGATCGGCGACCTTGCGTTCGCGCTCCTGAGTGCGGCGCTCGACCTCGGCGGTGCGGGCGGCGACCTCTGCGCGGCGCGTCTCGGCCTGTGCGAGCTGCTTCTCGTAGTAGCCGGGCTTGTGGCCACGGCGCTTGGGGTTAAAGTAGGCGCCCTTGCCGCGCACGCCGGACGTCTCTGCTTCCGTCGCGTCGTCGGCACCGGGGGCGGTGGCGGCAGCGGCGGGCTTGATGCGAATCTCGTTGGGGTTCGGGGCTTCGCCGTCGTTGTCGAGCATGGCCTGGCGGTCTGGGTGGAAGGCGTGGTCTTCGTCTGGGGTGGCTGCCGCGGGAGGGGCGCTGGGGGCTGATGCGGCGGGTTCGGGTGCCGACTGCGACGGCGAGCCTGAAGAGGTTGCGGCGTCATCGGGGCTGGTTGAGGAGGCTGAGGGCTCCCCTGCTGGAGGTGAAGGGGGAGGCGGCGGCGCTGCGTTCTCGTGCTGGGCGGGGAGGGGCTTGGAGGGTGCGGTGGCGGCGAGCTCTCGCTTCTTGATTTTGGCGTAGGCCTTCTTGACCTTGGCGTTGGCGATCAGGCGCTCTTTCTTCTTAGTGACTTCGAGTAGCCTGTGTCAGCGGTGAAGCGGGTTCGCGGGTCGGCATGAGAGGTGAGATGGGGGAGGGAAGAGATAGCATGGGGACGTACGTTGGCGCTTCCACGGGCCGTCAGGGAGGTTGTCGGGGCCAACCTTGAAGCCCTTGCGGTGCTTCTTCTGGGGGGCGGAGGAGGCGGCGTCCTCTGTGTCGTCGCGCGTGCGTTTTTGAGGCGCCATGATGTGCCGTCCTGGTGGTGGTGGTGGTGATGATGATTGATGTGAAGTGAGTGAGGGAGGGGCGAAGTGGAGAGCCGGGGCTCTGGGTGGTGGCCTGCGAGCTGATTTATCCGTGACGTTTTGGACCAAATTGAATTATGATGCCTCGCACCAGTTCCTCGATCGTGTCTGTGAGCTGGTTGACCCGCAAAGGAGGAGGCCAAGCCGTGTCGTGAGGATGTCGCCTTGGAAGCGATGCTTCTCATCTGAGGAGGATTTTTTTGACGTTGGGATGAGAAAGTGGGGTCTCTCTGCCGATAAGAGAGTCCGATAAGACACCTCTGGATTTGAAAGAGACACGGCCAGCCTGCCAGCCAGCCTGCCACCTTGATGCCAGCACTTGCGGCAGTAGCAGAGCACCCCAGACCCTAGACGTCCAGTGGGTAATGCGCTGAGATGGGTCCGGCCCCAGGGGCCCTGCAAGCCTGGGCCAGGTGATGCAGCGGGTCTGGTTTAGGGGCATCCTTAGCGTGCCCAACCCCCCCGGCTGATAGGCCGCGCCTCGTCGCTAACCCCAAAGAGGGCCCTGATCATGCAGCTGATGGAGAAGTTGGGCCCCGGAACATGACGATATCGCAGTTGGCAGATGCATCTTTTTGCATGCCGTCTCCTCCACACCAAGGACCCTTCTGACCGCCGTATGCTCCTTATCAAAGGAAGGCGAGCGGTCTGCCCTCTGTTTTTCATGGTTCTAGCACCTCTTCCTTTCGTGACTCTGCTTCGACTCAACACTACTGCTGCGTGGACTATTCAATTCCTCTACGTTGGGCTGAGTTGCCAGCCAGTACAAGGATCTCCGCCCTTCCAGCCGCTGGATCCAAACGAAGCATAACGCCTTAGTACAGTGCCCACTGATGACGTCCCTTGGTCCCCCATCTCGGCTCTTCTGTCACAGCTCTCTATTTGCCTTTCGGCCTGTCGAATGACTAACAGCCACACCACCTCAAACAAACAAACAACACATTGCATCTCATGACAAGGCATGACGGAAGACACCCTCCAAGCCCTCACGCCGCGAAGAAAATCCTGCCTTCTGAGCCGCAGCAGTGCTGTGGCTCGGTATAGCACTCGATTGTACCGTCTACGTCTTCGCCATGCCCATCTTCCAGGCCGACCTCGAGCTGCTGCTGGAAGGCCAAGCTCGCGATGCTCCCGCCGAGCCGAGCCCTGCCACGGCTGATCAGGCCGGTCAGTCTCGGCCAGCGACCTCCTTCCTCCATCCCAATCTGGAGCAGCCAGCGCTGTTGAGAAAGCTGTCGGAGGAAAGCATTCGCACCGAGCTGTGCGAGGGTCCCGTTCCCGACAGTCCCCGACCATCGACTGCAGATGCAGACCTCGAAGCGAGCACCTCGAACCGCGCAGAATTAATTGAGAGATTGAAGAGGGGAGAGTCTCCTACCTGGATCCCTGCTCGTCGTGTAAGCTCCTCGGGGGGGCCTCTCTAGTCAAATGACAATCACTTACATTCGACCAGCTCGAGTCGTTATATGACGGACCACCACCACCACGCCAAACCCGGAGCCCACGCCCACCAGCCGATACGTCCTCCCTCCTCCCACCTGCCGATATCACCCCCGAGAAACTGAAGGACGTCATAGTCGTGGATGAGGAAGCCAGGCTGAGAGACGGGTTGAACATACAGAGGCCGAGGTCTGCCCTCCATAGCGGTGACTTCACCCAAATCCACGCCCACGCCCACCCTCTTCGAGACGACGAAGACCGGCCTGGACCAGCCCCATTACAGCCTCCTGCTCATTCTTGGATAGCAACATCTCCGCCTCGTGGGTACTTGCCGTTCGATCTCACCCAGGGATTGTCGGTTCCGCGCAATGATGACTACCAATCCATACCGTCGTCATTGTCGTCGTCCTTCTCCTCCAACTTTGCATACAGACCGCCCACGAGTCCTCTAGTACAATCCGAAAGCAACGACGAGTTTGACCTGGTGCAGCCGATCCGCAGCATGAGCTCTGCTTCCACGCCAGCCAGCCTCCGACGACACACACTGACGTCCAGTCCCTCACCCTTTGCTCTGCCGCCGAGGTCGGCACACTTGGGAGGATCCTTCTCGCACAGGAGAGAGTCTTCGTTGCCCTATCAGGCGCACCAGCCACGTCGTTCTCTCACCTCGACCCCCAACACGCCATGCCTGGGTCCATCGCCCTCTCCTCAGACCCCCGCGTTTCTCCGGTCGAGGAGACCGTCCTTTAGCGATGCCTCCCCCTTGCAGCATGCTTCCATGGTCGGATCGTACGAGGAGAGTATTCTTCGCGGCCGCATGTCCACCAATCCGTCCAAGCCACTTGACTTTCTTGCCCAGATTGGTGTTCTGGGCCTGGGAAAGTGTAAGCCCAGCCTGAAATGTCCGTCTCATGTGACGCTGCCATTTCCCGCCGTATTTTACAGCTACGGAAGCAGTGCCGTGACTGGCCGCTCGCCGATGGAGGATGGACCGAGTCCGTATGTCGGTCAGATCGATCTCGAAAATGGCTTGCCAAGCCACGGCGGCGAAGATCGGACAAAAAAGAAGATGCACAGCCGGTATGCAGACCGCCAGGCGACTGGTCAAGAAATTGGATCGCCGACCATATCCACCGGAGCCTTGGATCGAGAGTCGCACAAAGCCAGCCGCGCACGGAGACGGTCAGGGTCGCCTCGAGCTCCGCCGGGCGGTAGCTATCGAGTCCCGGAGAAGGGACAGATCCAGATTGTCATCAAAAATCCGAACAAGACGGCGGTCAAGCTTTTCCTGGTGCCTTATGATCTGGCTGGTATGGAACCCGGCACCAAGACCTTCATCAGGCAGCGAAGCTACTCGGCCGGCCCGATCATTGAGAACGCACCCGATGATCCCGTGCACAACAGATCCATATTACGCTACCTTGTTCATCTGCACTTCTGCTGTCCATCAAAGGGCAGATTTTACCTCTACAAAAGCATACGCATTGTGTTCGCCAACAGAGTCCCCGACGGCAAAGAAAAGTTGCGCAACGAGACAACCTGGCCCGAACCCAAATTCTCCACGTACAAGCCGATTCGGGTTATGAACCCGCCCCTCTCGAGTACCGGTCCCGGAGCCATGCTCACAGCAGAGAAAGCTTTCCGGCGACGGAGCTCGGGCTTCTCATTTGGCCCCTCCGTGCAGGCCTTCGACGCCATGGATGGGGTCATGCACAGTCGGGCCCCAGCGCAGCACTCGTCGCCATCGCTGTTCAGTTTTGGGGGCAACACGCAGCCCGTGGATCCCATACCGCTCAGGTTCCCGTCGAGGAATCGACTGGGCAGCGATGTCAGCGACAGCACCGACACGACAGGCCTGACTGGTCTGCGATCCCCGGGTTCATCGCAGACCAGTCGGCCGACGACCAAGGACGGCCTGGATGCGCAGATTGCTCGGTACGAGAAGCTCAACAAAGGCGATGTCGGGTACGGAGGCAATGCCTTCGCTGGGCTTGGCCGAGGAAGCCCTTCTGGGACCGAAGGTCTCCTTTCGCAGCGCTTGCGTTCACTCGGCGTTCAGGGACAGGGTGGTTCCCCGCCTGACGACGTGGACTAAATATACTACGTTTACTTCCATCATTGGATTCTGGAGTTTTCTAAGGGTTTTAATTTTCTTTTTTGGAAAAGCATCTGGGAGGAGTTGAGTGACACTTCATTTTGTAATTAGACGACGAAGTACCGAGAACTAGCTCGGCCATCGCATTCAGGGATTGGAAAGCGGTTCGGAGCTGGACGGCGGCCAGCCGGTGAAAATAACCATACTAGCAAAACTATAACAAGCTCTCTTAACACGATGGGGCTCCGAGACGTAGGACAACCTTGGGAGTGGAAGCGTGATACTGTCTCTCAAGTGGCAATAAGGTCGACTCTTTTGGCGATCGCTTTTCAAGTGCATAATGTTGGAACTGTGCCTGCCAGGCTCACGGGGATATGAGAGCTCTTATTTGGTGATTCTTATTCTGGCTGTGAGACTCGCAGTAAGTGACAAAACAAAGCATGACAAAAGATGTCTGAGCAAGAAAGCTAGTATTCAGCCCTACCTTGAGCTCGGTCAAATTCCGTTCAACTCGCACAAAATTCGCAGCTTATACAGTAACATGATCTCATTTTTCAGAGTTCAGCGTGACGCAAGTTCACTACTGATCATTGGCTGGCTCCAAGCCATACATTTTGACGGGGAATAGCCTCACTTCGAAGACTGAAATGTAACCCTTTTGCAGCTCCATCCTGACCATGCGTAGACCTGCCCTTTTGAGCAAATCTTCGAAACTTCTCATCTCCCCTCTTGCCTACTAGTGGACGTTGATGATGCAGACTGGACGGCTTTCCTCGTAGTACTACTGTTCTCGTTGTTCAAAATGTCATTCCCGTTTATGCTGAGATTTTCGTTGACGATGTTGATCCCATTTGATTCCCCTCCCACTGACCTGCTGACCCTTGAGTGCCGTGGTGAACTTGAGCCTCCCTCGGGGACGTAGTCGATAGACTGCAGCACATTTTTCAGGCTCGCGCCTGTCTGAACTAGAAAGCTGCGGGACCCGCGCAGATGAACGTTTCTGGGGTTGGCAAGCCCCTTGACCAGCGGGATGCCGCCGAGCATGCCACACTCACCGACGTCCATGCTTGCCACTACTTCAGAGCTCGGAACGTAGTCGGCGCGACCGAGGGGCTCATCGCCCTCTGTCGCGTGCTTCCTCCCTCGGTAGTATGTGACAGTAGAATCTTACCAAACTTAATCAGCATGCTGATACCCTGAGATACCGCTGAGACCCCAGTTCAAAGAATACAGAGCCGGACCTTGCGAGTGGAGGGTTCCATCGCCAGAGAACATCAGACGATCTCGCGAGACGGCACCCCTGAAACGCGGATCGCCACTCGCCCGACCTCACTGTCCACCTTTGGCTGATGAATATTGAATACTCTCGTCTCCAGAAAGCTGTATTCTCTTTGGTCGGATCGCGTAAGAGCGATGCATGACGACTTGGGGAGGAGAGCCATTTCGCAAGACGCGTCGAAGGCCAACCGCTGATCACGATAAGGTCTTCGTAAGACCACCACAGGCTCCGGAAGTCAAGATGAGGTCTATTCTACTACCAATTCTCGTCTCCCGTCTACTGATCGTATCGGCTGTTGCGCTGCCAATACCAATAATCCATCGATCCCCAGACGTCCTGGACGATCTCTCGGGCATCATCGACGATGTCGTGACGACCTCGATATCCGTCGTCCGCGCTCTCAAGACAGCCATCCGAGACGACGCGCTCGTCCGAAACGACCTCGAGCCTTTTCTCGACGGCAGTGACACCGCGTCTGCAACAGCAGCCTGTCCGGACGTGGCAGTTCTCTTCGCCCGCGGCGCCCAAGAGCCAGGTAAGTGAATCTCGCGTGCCAGATACGTTGCAAGACGGCCTCCCCCGACAGTAAGATACAAGCCGATGAACTTTCGCTCCAGGAAACGTCGGCTTTCTCGTCGGCCCGCCCCTCTTCCAAGCCCTGGAGACGTACATCAACGGCACATCGTCCCTGGCGATACAGGGCGTAGAGTACAGCAGACTTTCGCGTGCCGACGCCGGTGCTCGCATGGCTGCCTTCGCGGCCGCGACGACGGCGCGGTGTCCTGGAACGGGTATTGCCATGGCAGGATACTCGTTCGGGGCCAAGGTCGTGAGGAGCGCGCTCGCTCGGGGCAACAGTACCGTCAGGAGCGTGGTGTTGTTTGGCGATCTAGAGGAGGGGGCGCCGGTGGAGGGCGTGGATGCTAGGTTCGTGAAGACCTTTTGTCACGAGGGGGATTTAGTTTGTCAGCGCACGAGTCCTCCGGCGACGACAGGTGCTGGGGATGACGACGGGGTGGCTGGGGGAGAAGGGCAGGATGGGGAGTTTCCGAGCAGCAAGAAGAACGTGACAGGCCCGCATCTGGAATATAGCCTCGACGCCCCGGCGGCGGCCATGTTTGTGATGCAGAGGAGCGGACTCGGGGTTGCGAGTGATGATGCGATGGACGAGGGAATGGCTGGAACAGTGGTGGGTATGGTGCAGCAGATCATGAAGAATACCAATGGGGGTATAGCCTCGAGAAGAAGATGATCGAGGTAGAAATGATTTCAGGGGATGATTGAATGTCTAATGCGCATAGTAGTGCGTATGCAAAAATATATCTAAATGCCGATTCGTCATGATATCACAACAGTATATCCTACACCATTTATACACGACTTGAAATGTCGGAGCGAACTCGGCTGTTGCATCACAGCAACCCACTCTCGACCGTCTTCCGCGACTCTTCCTTGGACAGAAAAGCCCGCCATAACCTCGGGCACTTCTCTTGTACGCGATGGAGCTGGGCCTCGATAGTGCTAGACCAGGGCGCCTCGGACTTCAGAACGACATACTGGTCGCGCAGCAAGTTTAGCGTGATGCCGTCAGGCCGTAACCACCGTGGCGCGTTGCCTCTGCGCCGCACTTCGATAGGCAATGTCTTGGGCTTGCTGTGGCCGCGACGGTGAGGCGCCCAACCGCGCCAGCCAGTCATGAGCATGTTCTCGCAGTAGTCGCATGCCTGCTCCCACTGGCTCATCTCCACGAGCGCGCGGCATATGTAATTCCAGTTGCGGCTGTCAAGTTTGAAACCCGCGCTGGTGACCTTCTCCACCAGGTCGATGAGCCCTTGATGATCCTTCTCAGCTGCTAACACGCGCTGCATCGAATGTACCGGACCGCAGAGATCGTACCGATGACTGGGAAGAATGCCTGGTTTTTCGTACGTCTTGGGTCGGCCTTGCGCCAACGCTTTCTGCCACGCGACTTCCCACGCGTCCTTGACCAGGTCGTGTTTGTTGTCCAAGAAATTTGCTAGCATCATCGTGTCGACTAGGGGCAGTGGAGTGGATGCTGTATGTCTCGACCCGCCTTGCATTGCTTTTGAATACAGGTCGAGGATCTCGTGGACCGAGGCAAAGTCTCCGGACTGTGCGAGGACCACCATGGCGCGCTGAACAACACGAGCATAGGATCCTATCAAGCTCTTGTCGCCAGGTTGCCTCATCATCCAGCGATCGGAACCAGAATCCGTGATCGGATCCTTGTATTGGCTCTGAAGCACTCTCTGAAAGTAGTCAACAAGAGACTTACCCAGCTCGTGTGCTTTTTCAGGCGTGAGAGCCACCCTCTTGACGTCTCCTTCTTCGCCTCGGTGAGCAGTCGATTGCTGCTTCAGCAGGGCGTCCACCGTGGCGATCGACGTCTCCATAGACATGGGATAGCCTTTCTGTTCCATAGCAGCGCGGATAGCCTCGACCTTCCGCGGCTGGCCGGTCCGCAAAGCGCTCGACATTACTGTTGCGAAATGCTGCTCAGTGACAGGGAACGATTTGTCTTCCAGTGTCGATAGGAGAAGCTGGTATGCATGGTCGGTTTGTTTCGTATAAAGGAGAGACTGCAGAGCGAGATCGTACGTTGCTGCGTTCCACTTGACGCCGTGCTCAGCCATGAGGTCCATTGTCCGGTACGCGCCTCCCAAGTTCCGCCGATGTGATTGATACTTGATGAGACAATTCCAGAAGTAAGCGTTGTCTCCTGGAATTCCTTTCCTCGTTGCAGAAATGCAGGCTAACTTGGCTTCGTGAAAGCGATCGTTCTGGCAATACGCCTCGACCAGGCCGTAAACAATGGCAGCATCTACCTCCACTTTCAACTCTTGAGCCTGTTCAAAGAAGCTCTCGGTCCTCGCCAGGTCGCCCTTGTCACCGGTCATGGCCATGATGGTACCGAAGCTGATCGAATCAGGAGCAACAGACTCGGAGAGGTCCTCGAATGCTTGAATTGCATCGTCGTAGCGATCCGCTCTGACGTAGGTTTTGAGCAGGATGTTCCAGCTGACAACATCCGGTGTCACGTTGTACTTCACTGTCAAGTCGTCAAAGACCTGCCGCGTATCTTCTGGGATGCCGCGATTGCTGTATGCGTTCAGGACATGATTGAACGTCTCGGGATCCTTCATAATGCCTTTGTGATGTCCTTTGGCCACGTATTCGGACCAAAGCCTCTTGGTAGACCTAACATCGCCGCGCGAGGCATAAAATTTGAGGTACTTGCGGAATCCCCACTGATCAAGCTTGCCGTACGAGCGATGAAAATCCTCATAGACCTGCTCGAGACCTGCTACGTCGTGGGGATAAAAAACGTCGAACATGCCATGTAGTATACGCCAATTAACATGCTTGCTGAGCTTGCGGAACTCGCGGTAAATCTCAGCCATATGCTCCTCTTGGCCTCGTTCGACGGCTTTGTTGAGATAGATCGAGTACCACTCTGAGTGGGAAATGACCTGAAGGAGTTGCAGGGCTTCATCCGGCTTGCAAGGCTGTACCAAGGCGCGCTTGGATGCTTCTCGGAGTAGCCTGACAAGGCCGTCAGTAGCCTCAGCATCGGACGGAGCTGACCTGGGCCGGTTTCTCCTTCCCTGTTTCGGCTTTGCTTTGGGAGTCAGATCTGGCAGGCCCTCACATGCCTTGATGTTCTCCATGAATTCAAGTACTTGCGTGCCTAGGTCTGGAACTGCCAAAAGTGGTGACAGATCGCCTGCTTGTACCCCTTTCGCCGCAAACAGGTGTCTGTAGGGCGTCCAGATCCCACGAATGAGATCCCAGGCCGAGTGTCGAAAAGCATGGGCGAGGAGATGCCCGAGCCCACCCACCAGCTCCCGCTCCTTGAGTGCCGTATGATATATCTTGAGTGCTCTCTTGACATCGCCTTGACGAAGCTCGGCGGCCACCGCTGCAGTCAGGATGGGGGGCGTCCAAGAGGACGAGTCCATCTCGGAGAAGAGGGCGAGAACGCGGTCGGCGTTGGCAGCTGACGTTGACCGGTGAAAGTACGCAATGACTTCTGGGCGCAGCTCAGCCCTGCGCTGGGGGTTCAGCTGCCGCCACAAGTCCCAAATCTGCCCAAAGTACTCGGCGTCTTTCTGTGCCATGAGCTCTCTCATCAGTTCTGGCTGCGCGTCGGTGGCGGCGGTGACGTGCTGGCCATCCTGTTGCTCGGAACATCTTGCGTGACTGGCGACAGGCGCGATCGTTTGTGTCGACGGTGATGGAGTGGAAGGGGCACCATGTTCAAAGATATCCGCTGGTTCGGGGGCGGCATGTGCGTCGTGGGATGCTGAGGTAAAGAGCCGGGTCGTGCCCTGCTGGGGCTGTCGCTGGACAGAGGATGTTGCAGAAGCGGGAGTCAGGCGCCGCAGGAAAGCCACGGTGCCTCGGGGGTAGAGAAAGTCGAGGAGAAAGGCCGAGGCAACGAGCCTGTCGGGAGTGTGGGAAGAAGCGGCGGGCTCCCTCATGCCCTGTGTGTCGTGACCGTTGGGTGCCCATAGACTGGCCAGGTCGAGGGGCGCTGCGCCATGCTGCCAGAAGCCGGTGTGAAGGTTTCGCCGAGCTCTGATGGATGATGGAAGAGAACGTTGAAAGGTGCAGGGCTCCAACGCGGCAGCCGTTCTCTCCAGCATGGGCGCGGGTGTGTCCAGACGGTCCTCGACGATGAGACGGGCAGTACGAGGACTAAGGCATGAGATATGGCATGCTGATGATGCGGAGGTGTTTTTTCTTTTGTCAACAGCTTTCGGGGGACGCTGATGGGGATTGAAGCTGTCTGCAAAAAGCTCTTGGGGGGAGGGACCTGCATCGGATGATCAGTCGATTGCCTCGCTGCAGAAAATCAATCGCGGTCCATCATGGGCGGGAGCTCGGACCACCCGGCGTGGCTCCACCATGAGAACACGCCTTTGCCTTTGAGCCACAGTCAGGCACAGCCACAGCCTACCCTAATGCCAAGGCGAAGGAAGAGTGAAGACAGTTTTGCCCCACCAACCCCCGCCAGACACTCGTCCAGTGAAGCGAGTGCTTGGTTGATTGAGTGGCTCGACCAAGACGTGCGACGGTCCGAGATCACAGCTTTCGATCCTCCGAGGAGTCCTCGTTCATCCAACACGCATTCGGCATTCGCGGCAGTCCGACCGATTCCATTCTTCATCGTCACCAACGCACCCGAGGAAGCTGCCGGCATCCGTCTCGAACCTGCCGTCGGGCTACCTCTGCCATGGATATCACCAAGTTTGTCGTCTCTGGACGGGACGCGGCACTCCTGTACGGCGACTATGCCACCTACCAGACACAGCTGGGCAAGAAGCTCCTGAACTGCAGGAAGAAGCTTGGGATCGTAACCCGGAACAGGGGGAAATTCCAAAAGAAGGACGACGTCACTGCCGAGCAGATTGCGCAGAACCGCGAGTATGGCCTCGACCTCCCCACCATCTTTCCCGCCAGCTTATTGACCCCCTCCCCTCCCAGATACATGCATCTCCTTCTCCTGACTAGCGAAAGAGCCTGGGCCAATGCCATGAGCATCAAGGCTGCGCACTCTGCCGATACCGACGGGATCAACAGCCGCACGCGCAAACATATTGTTTCACGACTCGAAAAGGCCGCCCGCACCGCTGAGACTCTCGTCGAACTCTTGACCGAGGACCAAGCTGGCGCCGAGAGGGACGACAAGCTCGAGGCCAAGGCGTATGCTGCCCTGATCAGGGGCGCCGCATCCTTCGAGAAGCAGGCCTGGGACCCCAGCGTCAAGGCCTACGCCGTTGCGCGCATCATCTACAGCGCCCTGGCCACGGCGGCCAAGGGCGACATCTACAAGGACCTCCTCTCGGAGACGATTGACCCGTCCATCCGCTATGCCGCGTACCAGGCAAAGACGCCTCGAACGGTCCCTGTGACGACGATTGCGCGCAAGGCCTTCCCTCAGTCCGATGCATGGCTTGTCCAACAGCTCAACGGTCTGAACCCCAACATTCTGAAGCAAGAGACGTCTGACTCGGCGGAGAAGTCGTCGGGCTCGGAGAACGCTCCAAAGACCCTGACCTGGCGCTCACGCGAGGTGAAGATTGAAGATGCGGCCATCTCGCTGGCGTGGGGTCAGGTGCAGGAGGCCAAGGCAGACCTCTCTGAACAGTTGGCTGCCCTTTCTGGATCCGACCCGAAGACGGCGGCCGGTGCCTATGATGATATCCTTACGGCGACGCAAGATGCTGTCGACGCAACGAAGGAGGCGATCGACGAGCTGCGTGGGGAGGGCGTTGCCCAGAGCGACCCCCGCATGCAGAGCCTGCAGATTACCAGGACGGCCGTCAACTACGAGATGATCAGCTGGCGGATCGGACGCAACCGTGTTCTGACTGGTGAGCATGACGGTGCCGAGGAGAACTACCAGCCTTTGTCGCGCAAGAAGTCGAGGAAGGAAACGGCAGAGATTCGAAAGCGCAAGGTAGACCCGCCGAGTCGCAAGATCGCCAAGCTCCGCGAGCTCGTGGCTCTGTACGAGGGCATCCTGCAGAGCGTGCAATCTGTTCGGGAACTGCCTGGTGTGGCGGCCGATGAATCGCTGGCCCACCAGCTGGATGCAACGACCCAGTACTTTGGAGCTCTCAAGTATGATCATCTCCACCACGTATCATGTGCGCAGCAAATGCTAATCTCTGTACAGGGCCCTCACGATCGCTCGCTCGCACAACATCGTTGGCAACCCCGTCAATGCTCTCGCGCTGATCAACCACGCACGCGACGAGGCGCAGGCCGCGGCGCCCGCCCTTGCCAAGGTGCCCCAGCCTTCCGCCGGCTCCCCTCGTAACATCCAACCTGTTGCCGAGGACGCCGAGTACCTCGAGGATTTCCTCGACGGCGAGCTGCAGCGCCAGCGCGCCCTCGTCCACATCTTCCACCTCCAGAAGGAGGCGGCGAAGGCTCAGGAAGCCGACGGGCGGGCGCCTCCGCTCATCGAGCGCCTGCACCAGTACCCCGTCGGCGGCGTCGACCTCACCAACATTGTCGAGATCCCGCCGCAGGTCGCGCCCGTGCCCGTCAAGCCCATCTTCCTCGACATCGCCTGGAACTACATCGACTACCCTCGCGAGGGCGGCGCCGCCCCCGAGTCGAAGCCCCAGGAGAAGGCAGCTGCTGAGGACAAAACGGCGCCGCCCGCACAAAAGAAGGGCTGGTTCGGCTTTGGAAGGTGAAGAAAAAAAAAACGGGCCCGTCTAGCTGTCAATCATACCATTCATCGTGTTCGAGGCGCGCCGACTTGCCGTGACCCAGTGCAGTGCTCATGTTCCACAACCTGCGACATGTATCCTTGTTGCCCACGGGCAAGACGGTGCTCGTACGGCAGTGTCATCGTTTGATGACCAGAGTGACAGTGTTGTGCCGATGGGCCTCAACAAAGAGCCCTCCTAGTCCAAAGCGACCAAGCCATTGTTATTTCGTGAGCGCCCGTGTCAAGTCCCCCTCCTTCCTGATCACAGCATGTACTCCTGCAGACGGACATAAAAAGGTCCTTCAACCACCCGTCATCCGTCTCCCATTCTCCCCACCTCAAGCCCACAAGCTCGAAGGTCGAGAGGTCCCGACCGCGACAGGCGGCAGTAGAGGAACGAGGTATGTCTCCTAAACCACCCCCCTCCTGGCTAACAAGTGCTAAAGGTCAAGCTCTCGGTCCGAACAACTTCACGTTACACACCATCCCGCCAGGTAAAGTACCCCTTCCTCCCCTCGGCTAACAAACGCTAGGTGAATTGAAAGGGGCAGGTAGACAGCACAGAACACATCGTCACTCAAGGTACGTTCCCTCCGCATCCCATCCCCATTCACATGAGACAGACAAAGAAAAAAAGACTGCGCATATCACGCTGATCTCTTCCATCTGCCGACATGTCGTATGGGCCATGGTGTGTTCCGCACAATAGTCTTGTGTGTCTGCGTTTGTACCGGGCACGACAACACTCCAGGAAACAGGGCAGCATGGCCTCGGGCCCGGTCGGCGGTCTTGAAGCCGCGGGTCACATGTGGCTGCTTGTTTATTCCCACTTCGGCGGCTACAAGGAAGGACTCTGGGTTGGTTGTGGTTTCATAGAGTACCGTCCTACCCACAACGGCCGAACGAGGCAGGTTAGTCGCGGGACAGATATTTTAATTCCTGCAAACCAGTAACGTGTGGCTATGGTACAATGTAAATTCTTCTTGAGAGGGGATGTAGGATTATCTGCGTCTAGCTACTCAACAGCTTTGTACATTTGCAGCCGCCCAATGGTCCCCCGATCCATGCCTTCATGTCATGAATACCACACAGGTATCTCGAGTCAAAATCTTTTTGATGCTCCAACGCCAGTTTCCCTCTGCCCGCGCGCGCAAGTATTAAGAACAAGGTAAAAGGGGGAGGGGGTAAAACAGGGGAAGCGTGCCGGTTGCGGGGGAATATGAGTACAGGTGAGAATACAGTGGAGGTTCGAAGGCCTTTCTTAGGCCTTCCAGCTATTCAGACACGATCCTAGCATGTTGTTTTGTGTTGTTTTCAGTTTGGGTACAATGGAATTTCCGTTTTTTTTTGGGAGAATTCAGAAGAGACGAGGGACCATTTAAGGCTTCTTCTCCTCCTTGTTCTCGGAGGTGTTCTCCTGGGAGGAAGAGGACTGCTCGCCAGAGTCGTTGCGGGCCTTGTGCATCTTGTCGAAGAGGTTGAGGGAAGCGACCTGGAGGTCGTCGGTCTTCTCCTTGATCTCGGCGGCGGTGGCGGTGCCCTCGCCAGCGAGGCTCTTGGAGACGAACTCGCGGAGGGCGGCAATCTTCTCACGGATCTTGTCGGCCTCCTCCTTCTCGAGCTTCTCAGCGTACTCGTTCAGGGCACGCTCAGTATCGTTGAGGACACTGTCGGCGCGGTTGGCAGCCTCGATGGAGCCCTTGCGCTCCTTGTCAGCCTCGGCGTACTTCTCCGAGTCCTCGACCATCTGCTGGATCTCGTTGTCAGACAGGCCCGAGCCGGAAGCAATGGTGATGGACTGGTCCTTGTTGGTGGACTTGTCCTTGGCGTGGACGTGGACAATCGAGTCAGCGTCAATGTCGAAGGTAACCTCGACCTGGGGAACACCGCGGTGCGCAGGGGGGATGCCAACGAGCTGGAAGTTGCCGAGCATCTTGTTGTCACGGACAAGCTCACGCTCACCCTGGTAGACCTTGATCTCGACGGCGGTCTGGAAGTCGGCGGCCGTGGAGAAGACCTGGGACTTCTTGGTGGGGATGGTGGTGTTGCGGTTGATCAGACGAGTGAAGACGCCGCCGAGGGTCTCGATACCGAGAGAGAGGGGAGTGACGTCGAGCAGGAGAAGGTCCTTGACCTCACCAGAGAGGACAGCACCCTGGATGGCGGCACCCATGGCGACGGCCTCGTCGGGGTTGACCGACTTGGCGGGGTCGCGGCCGAAGATGCTCTTGACAGACTCGGACACCTTGGGCATACGGGTCATGCCGCCAACGAGGATGACCTCCTGGATGTCCTTGGTCTCGAGGTTGGCGTCCTTGAGAGCCTTGCGGACGGGACCGATGGTCCTGGTGATGAGGGGGTCCATCATCTTCTCAAGCTGAGCACGGGTGAGCTTGAGGTTGATGTGCTTGGGGCCGGACGAGTCGGCAGTGATGAAGGGCAGGTTGACGTCGGTCTGGAGGGACGAGGACAGCTCAATCTTGGCCTTCTCGGCGGCCTCACGGATACGCTGGATGGCCATGCGGTCGTTGGACAGGTCAATGCCGGACTCGTTCTTGAAGGTCTGGACGAGGTGGCGGACGAGGTGGATGTCAAAGTCCTCACCACCCAGGTGGGTGTCACCGTTGGTGGACTTGACCTCGAAGACACCGTTCTGGATCTCGAGAACGGAGATATCGAAGGTACCACCGCCAAGATCGTAGACGGCGACAACACGGTCGGCGTCCTTCTCCATGCCGTAGGCAAGGGCGGCAGCGGTGGGCTCGTTGACGACACGCAGAACGTTCAGGCCGGCAATCTGACCAGCATCCTTGGTGGCCTGACGCTGAGAGTCGTTGAAGTAGGCAGGGACAGTGACGACGGCGTTCTTGACAGGCTTGGAGAGGTAGGCCTCGGCCGTCTCCTTCATCTTGTTCAGGACGAAGCCACCGATCTGGGAAGGAGAGTACTTCTGGTCACGGGCGGAGACCCAAGCGTCGCCGTTGGTGTGCTGGACGATCTTGTAGGGAACCTCCTTGATGTCCTTCTGGACCTCAGCATCGGTGAACTTGCGGCCGATGAGACGCTTGGTGGCGAAGAGGGTGTTCTCGGGGTTGACGACGGCCTGACGCTTGGCGGCAACACCGACGAGACGCTCGCCATCTTGCGCGAACGCAACGACGGAAGGGGTTGTGCGGGTACCTATTGACTCGGTTAGAGCATGCCACTGGGGTTACGATCTGGCAGGGTGTGACTGACCTTCGGCGTTCTCAATAATCTTGGGGATCTTGCCCTCCATGACGGCAACGGCAGAGTTGGTGGTACCTGTGGGTGGCATGGTCAGCACGACTGTTGCGGTGATGCGCCACAAAGCTTCCGAAAAGCTTTTCATGCAGGGCACAGGGGAGACATTGATGACTTACCGAGATCGATACCGATGACGGTGCCCGTCACCTTGCCCTCGGCTTCCGTTGACTCATAGCGAGCGAATCTGGTAGCGAAGGAAGGACGAGCGAAAGCAGCAGCGCGTGCTGAGGTAGCTCGGGGCAGCTGTCGAGGAAGCTCGGTTAGCGGGCTATCGGAGCAGGTTGGTGGTGTGCGCGTGCGCGAAAGAGCTCAGCTCGACGCGAAGGCGCAAATGGACTGAGACTTACAGCTCTGGAAAGACGCGAGGCCATCATCTTGGCTGTGGTGTGTGGATGGGAGAGAGGAAGGGGGGGGTATAAAAAAAGAGAAATGGATTGGAGGAAGAGCAGGATGATGCACGCGGCAAGTGACGATGGAAAGGGGAGGGTTATTATTTGGGGAGATGGAGGAGTGATGATGGCAGAAGGGAAGGAGACGGGTCGAAATTTTTTGGGCCGAGAGCAATCATCGCCCCCAGTCGTAGAAGCCGACCGAAAGCCGCAGGGGCCCCATTCCAATTCCCCCCTGTCCCCACAGCCATTGGCAAACCCATTTGCCCGGAGGAACAGTGTCGCCGTGCACACGTGACCGTTCAGGGATCAGGGCTCATGGAGGCTGTCGTCAGGACTGCAGCCTGCGCCTGCACCTGCACCCAGCTCCATCGTCCAACATCCCCTGCGATGCGTATCATACCATCAAGCTACTTAAAACAGTCAGTCACGATGATGATCACGAAGCAGAGTTGCGTCACAGAATGAGAGCGATACCGACTGGAGGTCACAGAGTTGGCCTCGTCCCCGTCGCATCTTCACATGGAGAGAAGATGCGCTGTATGAAGGCAGCCCTGGCGAAGCTTCCGTGCTATGTGAAGTACAAGTCGGCGTGGAAGTAGCTAGGGGGCCATTCCAGTGTTACTCGCAGCCCTGGAATCATGTCTGTGAAGTAGGATCGAAATTTCAACTCGTCGTGGGATGTACTCAAACATCGAGCTGAAAGAGCTCCCGACCTCCTCCTCCTCTTCTTCTTCGTATTCTTCTTCTTCTACTACTACTACTGCACCAACAAGGAGAGGAATTCGATTTGTCAAGGTGTCTTTTTCAGAGGCGATCGAAGAACGGGCATGAGGTCCACCGCGTGGCGAACTTGGACATCCGATGGGACTGGAGTTTGGGTCTACCCAGATCACCGTACTGCACGTCGCACTGCTGCGTCGCCGCACTGATGGGTGTCGACGATGAATGCCTGGACAGGGGAGAGCCATCGGGCCCCAGAATGATTCCACTTGTGTTTGCCTCTTTGGGACGACGTGACCGAGGTATCCAGACGCTGGACCGACCTGCATCCGGGTGATTTTGGCAAGCACATCGGGCACATGCCGCTGCAGCTGAGCTGCTTTCATTGACTAGTGTAGGGCCAGGCGTCAAAACGGCGTCAAGATGGCATGAACATGCTGAATGTGGCGATGGAAGGAGGGGGATTCTCGATGTCGAGGTTCTCGATGTCGAGATGCTCCTGGCCGAGATACTTCGGGCGTCAGCAACACGAGGTGGAGGTCAAGGTACCGCAGGCGATGATGCAACCCCAGCGCGGCCCCTCCATGGATCCTTTGATTAGGTGCTCGCCCTTGACATCTCATCACCCGAGCCATCACTGCTGTTCACCCACATTCCGCCCTTCTCCATTCGTACCATTCACGGTGGTCGACAGCGAAACATCACTTGGCTTCCTCGATCTTTTTTGCCTCCCCCCAAGAAAAACATCTCCAGTCCGGAACCCCTACCGTCTGCATCTCGCCCACATTCCGTCTCCTCCGTGTTCCTGACCGAATCCTCACGCCGCGTCTGCATCTGCATCTGCATCCGCATCCGCATCCACGTCGACGCAAACTACATCTTGGTCATCTTTCGCTGCCAACCTCCAACTCGCCTCCAACTTGTCGTCCTACTACACGCTTGCTGCACGCTGCACACTGCACGCGCCCGCCCGTCCTTCCGCCCGCCCGCCTGCCCGCGACCGACAAAGTCGACAAGACGACGAGACGACACGGCGACAAGGCGACAAACAACAACAGGAGGAACGACAACTGATCACCGCCGCAACCCTGCAGCAGCATCGGCGTCGCCAGCCTTAACCAGGCGCCAGCATGGCCGTCAAGGACGGCGTCTCGTACGACCTGCTCCTTCCTTCTCTCCCCCGTCGACCCTGCATAGAAACATAGAAACATACAAACACACAAACACACAAGCACACAAGCACACAAAACCTCTCTTTGCTTGCTCCATCCATCCCCGGGACCAGAACTACAACTAACCCCGTCTCTCTCGTCCGCAGATGCTATCCGACCGAGCGCCTGATCTCCCGAAAAGCACGACGACACTATCGCATCCCTGTCAAGTCGCAGTACGTCTCCCACTGCCGCTTCATCGGCATCGTTCTCTTCGCATCTCCAGGGCCGCCGCCCAGCAAATTGGGGAGGACAGGGGAATAAACCTACTCAGGAAGCTGTTCGCTGACCAACCTTCTGCGTGACCCAGACACTGGCAGCTGCGATCACTCATCAGCGCCGATGCCCAAGAAACCGTGTATTTTCCCGGTGGCAATGGCGCCAACCACGTCCAGCGGCTGAACACGGCGACAAACGAGTGTGAGACTGTGCGGCTGCTGTCCTTCTCCCCGCGCTGCCTCGTCGCCCAGAACGGATGGGTGTGCTGCGGCGGCGAGACGGGCGAGTTCACGGCCCTGCAGGTGCACGACGCCCACGACGCCCACGACCCCCTCAACAGCGCCGCCAGCGATCTCGGCGACCTGCAGTCGAGCTTTGACGTCGACGGCGACTTTGCCCGCATCGGCCTGGCCTACATGCGTCCAGACGGCTCCGTCGTCCCGCGCACGCGCCTGCTCCCCCGCGCGGGCAAGACGGCGACGGCCAAGAGCATGAAGCTAGCGCGTGATAGGGTCAACTGCGTCACGCTCTGGTTCCCCCAGGACATGGCGCCGCCCACGCCGGACCGGTACAACGAGCCCGTCGCTGTCCTCGCCAACAATGACAAGACGGTCGTCGTCATCAGCCTGCACGACTTTGAGGCCAAGGACAAGACGGAGCCCCTCGACATGGTCACCTATCCTGACTACGTGAACCGGTCCCTCTTGTCGCCCGACGGCCGTCTCCTGATTGCCATCCTCGACGACCCCTACCTCTACATACACCGGCGCGTCGAGAAGCACGACGACCAGACGGCCGCCGGCGACACCAACGCGACCGCGTATCAGTGGGAAGAGGCGAGGAAGGTCCTGCTCAAGAGCCAGCGCAAGGGCGACCTCTCCGACAGCCGCGGCAGCTTTGCCGCCTGCTTTTCCCACTCGGGCGCGTATCTGGCCGTCGGCACGCAGTACGGCACCGTCTCCATCTTCGACGTCGAGACCTTGACCGATCTCGACGCCGACCCGCTGCTGACGACCTTTGACTCGTCGCGGCCCATGGTGAGCGAAGGCGCCATCCGCGACATGGCCTTTTGCCCTGGCCCCTTTGACCTGCTGGCCTGGACCGAAGACCGAGGCCACGTGGGCATTGCCGACATTCGGTCTGGCTTCGCGCAGCAGCAGATTCTCAACATCAGCGCCACCGACGACTTCAGCCACGTCAGCATCCTCGACCGAAACTCGGTCGACCCGCGGCTGCTCGAGGGCCGGGGCGAGCGGAGCGACAATCTCGCCGCGAACCTGTCCTCCTCGCTGAACCTGTCCGACCTGCGCCGCCTCCGCGGCCCCGAGGGCGCAGACCGGCACGGCTTACCCCTCTCGCACGAGGAGACGGTCGTCCTCGAGGCCCTGCAGGCCGAACGCCGCCGCAGGGAGCAGACGGATCGCATCGCCGCCCGCCTGGCGGACCACTCGTCGAGCCCCACCCTGACGGCGGCGTTGACGGCGAGCGGCCGCCTCCCGCGGCCAGACAACAGCGAAGGCGCGGGCGCTGCGGACGACGTGGCGCGGGTTGTGCGTGAGGAAGAACGCGAACGGGAAGAGCGCAGCAACATCACGCGCGCCCTCAGCGACTGGCTGCGCGATTCGCGCGAACGCGGCCAGGAGCGCGTGCGCACCATTCAGCGGCTGGCGCAGGAGGGCACGAGCGAGCGGGATCGCGAACGACGCGCCCTCTTTGCGCCGCCGCGGCGGAGCGCCACCGTCCGATCGAGTGACGGCGGCGGCGGCGGCGGCGGCGGCGTCGGTTCTCCCACGACACTGACGCCGGCGACGGTCAACACGGCGACGGCCGTGCTCCCGGCGACGGGCGGGTGGGCCGAGCTCGAGGCGCTGTACAACATTTCGCTCGAGACGAACCTCGCGACGCTGCGGTCGGCGGCCGAAGAGTCGGAGACGACGCAGCGGGAGCGGCAGCGAGAGCGGGAGCGGGAGCGGGAGCGGGCCCGCGACAGGGAGCGCGAGAGACAGCGGGAGCGGGAGAGGGAGCGCGAGCGCGAGAGGGAGAGAGAACGGGACCGCGAACGAGACCGCGACCGCGACCGCTCGTCGTTTCTGCCCTTCATCAATTCGGTGGCCATGCGCGAGATGGACGAGAGGCTGGCGCGGCGGCGCGTCGTCGTCGACCACGCGGTGCACGAGAGCCCGCCGGAGCCGGACAACACGGCGGGCATCTCGTGGAGTGAGGACGGGCGTACATTGTGAGTCCATGCCATTGACTTGGAGAGACAGTGTTTGTGGGTTGTGCTGACGGCGTTGCAGATTTGTCGGCGCCGAGAATGGCATCTATGAGTTTCACGTGGATACGCAGGGGCGCAAATACTGCCCCAAGCTGACGATGCGATGATTGGGTTGCGGGTGAAGGGCCTCAAGGCTGTATAACACGGGGTTTTTTCTTGGTGGTGTTTTTTTTTTTTTTTGGATGGGTATACGGCGTACGGCGGGTGATGGATCAGTAGTATGACGAGTATCGCCTATTGTACATGGTTAAAGTAATGCTATTACAGATTGTACATGAATCAGCAACGCTATCACAGATTGTGCATGAATCAGGAATACTACCACGGTGAGGCGGCTCTGCTGTGGATGTGGGAGACGGCTAGATGCAGATGGGAGTAGTACTTACAGACGAGTAGTGCTGTGCAGATAGTTAAGTGAGAGGATAGCATGAGCAGGCGGTCGTGAATGGGAATAGTCAACAGAGTTCAGCTGGGTGAGGATCCCGAGAGACTCCAAGGAGGTCTACGAACAGAACGTGTTGATCGTGGATGCATGCACGCTCACCTCTGCCCATCTACTCACATGATAGTGACCGTCCTTTATTGTCAGGATTGAATTCAGTGTTGGCCAGCACATCTTCCGTGTACCTCCAACCCAAGGTGAGACGTGCAAGCTTGCCCTATCCACAGCTCATCCAGCATGCAGCCGCAGATGAGCCCACGACAAAAGACCGGAAACGCGACGAAAGCAAGCTTCAACACAACATATACAAGCATCAGACAATGATTCAAAGCCTCCTCCTTCTAGCCTCGAGCTTCCAACCTCGCCGTCCGCTGCCGTAGCGTCACGCCACGACGAAAACGCCGGCCCGCAATCGGACCCCAGTGCGGGCGGCCGGAGCGAACAGCAACGGCATGAATGATATCCTGCCGATACCCACCTCCAACGCCAACATCACTTGTTCAACGCACCACCTCAGTTTCCGTCCAGCAGCGAAAACCCGCACCAACTGGAGACAAACCTCGAACCATGTCCACGGCCACACCTCTGCGCCCGGCAGCGCGGCGGGTAACCCAGTGCCTGCGCCTCGACACGAGAAGACGACGCAGCTTTGCCTCGACCGTCCCCAGGGACGCCGACTTTACCCACATTGTCCGCCTCGCCCCCCGTCCATTGCCTGTCCCTCGCGTCTCTGCAAGCTAACGCCTTGTGCGCCCGCCCTCCAGGTCATCGGCGCCGGCGTCGTCGGCCTCGCCACAGCCCGCCACCTGACGGCCACGCACCCGTCGAGCACGACGCTGCTCGTCGAGCGCCACGCGCACCCGGGCACCGAGACGTCGTCGCGCAACAGCGAGGTCGTCCACGCGGGGCTCTACTACGGCCGCGGCACGCTCAAGACGGCCCTCTGCACGCGCGGCCGCCGCCTGCTGTACGCCTTTTGCGCCGCCCACCGTGTCGCCCACCGCCGCACCGGCAAGTGGCTCGTCGCGCAGAACGACGCCCAGCGCGCCGCCCTCGAGCGCCTCTACGCGTCCGTCGACGCCGACGCCCAGGACGCCCCGCCCCTGCACTGGGTCGCCGACGCCGACGCCCGGCGTCTCGAGCCCGCCGTGCGCGCGCGCGCCGGCGTCCTGGCATCGCCTGAGACGGGCATCGTCGACGCCCACGGCCTCATGGTCGCGCTGCGGGGCCTGTTCGAGGACGAGGGCGGCACCGTCGCCGTGCAGTCGCGCGTCGAGGCCGTCGAGCCGCTGCAGCGCGCCGGCGCCGGCGGCTGGGCCGTGACCGTCGTCGACGCGGCGACGGGCGAGTCGAGCACCGTCACGGCCGACGTTGTCGTCAACGCGGCGGGCCTCGGCGCCGTCGACGTCCACAACATGATCGTGCCGGCCGAGCGACAGATGGCCATGTTCTACGCCAAGGGCAACTATTTCGCCTACTCTGGCAGTAGTGGCAGCAGCCTCAACGTGAACCGCCTCATCTACCCGGCGCCCGAGCCCGGCGTCGGCGGTCTCGGCACGCACCTGACGCTCGACCTCGGCGGGCGCATCCGCTTCGGGCCCGACGTCGAGTGGGTCGACGACCCGAGCGACGTGGCGCCCAACCCGGCGCGGCTCGACGAGGCCGTCCAGGCCATCCGCGAGTACCTGCCGGGCCTCGACGCCGACGCGCTGGCCCCCGACTATGCTGGCATTCGGCCGAAGCTGCTGCCCACGGGCGCCTTCCACGACTTCGTCGTCCGCAAGGAGGACGGCTTTGAGGGGCTCGTGAGCCTGCTGGGTATCGAGAGCCCCGGATTGACGAGCTGTCTGGCCATTGCTGAGCGGGTGGAGGCGTTGCTTTACAAGTAGAGGGAAGCATTCTGTTTGTTTCTTGTCACTGCCTCATGTTGTTTTGCTTTGGCAGGTCATGAGCCCGTCCGATACTATGTAGTCGTTTGTGAAATCTACGAGTCAACATGGAATCATCAACATGTTGCCATCTCGGTTGAACAGATCGACATGCACTCATTCGAGTAAGGGGGCATGAAAATGTCACATGCTCCAGAGGTCGGCCTCTATAGTCCGGCACGGACAAGCAACGGCAAGCACGGCATAACGACAAAAGCACAAAAAATGGCAATAACGCATACAACAAAGTAGATGCCCCCTGTGTCCTGACGTGTGGGCAGCCCAACGCCGCGCCCATGTTTTGCGACGTCCCCTCCCTTCCTGACTCCATGGATTCTGTGATTCATACACAAGGAAAATAAACGACCCCCAAACGCCGAATGGATGCTTTCTCTTTGCTATCATGTCCGGGTGATTCAGCTCGCGACCGCAGCCCGCCTACTGCTTTGGCGTCTCCCCCGCCGTGACCGTGTCGGAGATGGAGGCCGTAGGTTTCTCCTCGTCAATGGACGTAGCTCGCGTCAGATTCGACGGCTGGGCTGGTTCGTTGGGGTTGCCGAGGCTGGGACTGCCGGGGGTGGCATCTGCGAGTTGACGTTCTGCGTATTCTGTTAGTAGTAATCCAAGGGCGTAGATAACAAGGGCAGGGTCGCATACCAAGGTCTCGAATGCGGTGTCGCAGCATCTGGTTCTCCCGCACAAGCGTCTGGGTTTCGGCCTGGTAAAAGGCATTCTCATCGCGGCCGCCCAGTCCCAGCTGATCACTCTCGCCGCTGATCGAGGTCGCCCTGAGTCTGGGCGAGGGCCCGCGGCTCGGGGTCCTGGATCGACGACGCAGATCGGCCCTCGCCATGTCAAAGGAGCTGCGGGGGTGGTGGGCGATGCCTGGAGACCGCGAGAAGGAGCCACCGGTGGGGACGGGGGGGACGGGTGTCGTCTGCGCCAGCGCGGCGTGCTGGGTGGTGGGGGTGCCGTGCTGGGAGCGTTCCGAGGCGATGGCCGAGTCATCAGCGGCTGACGCATCGGGGCCGCCTTCGCGCAGCTGCTGGAGCTGGAGCTGCTGCTCTCTAATGGTGTGCAGCAGCCGGTTCTGGCGAAAGCCAAAGACAAGAGCGTCAGTCAAGGGGTGTGCTGCGATGCCGGCCGGGAAGTGTTCCTCATGTTGAACGTACCACTTGAGCTTCCTGCTCGGCCTCGAGCTCCTGGTGGAGCTCACCGAGACTCGGTGCGCGGTTGTGATGGGGGTCGCCGCCCTGAATCAGGTGCGGCGAGCTCGAAATGGGCTGAGGACTGGCGGAGGGCAAGACACCCGCGCTCGGGTTGGGGCTCGAAGCTTGGTTGTGGCGACCGGGCTGTTCCTCGGCCACCATCTCGCCGGGGCCGGGAAGGGCAGGGTCGTTGAGGTGGAGGTTCATGAGCACGGCAGATCGTCTCCGGCCGGTAGGCGACTGGGAGCCCTGTGGTTGGGAGGCTTGCGTCGATTCTGTGGCGGGCGGACACGGTGAGGTTAGTGTGGGAGACTGCGGCGGGCATAGGACAGGGCAGGACAGGAATGCCCGTGGCGGGGCAGCACGTACGACGAGGGGCATCGTGCTCACGCTGGATGCCGGCATTGAGAGTAGCGGCGGCCTGTAGCGAGACGGACAGGGACCGCGGCGAGCCGATGGGGGGTGAAGCGCCGCGCGGAGGCATGTGCGTATCACCGTTGGACGTCATGATGGGTGATCGAGGCGGATGTGGTGGTGCTGATGGTGGTGCTGTCGAGTTCGTGGTCGTCGATGAAAGGAAGAGAGTTGAGGTCGGGGGCCACTTGGGAGCGATGGGTTTTCGAGACGAGGAAGGAGGACAAAGAAGGAGCATTAAGAAGGAAGGGAGTCGCCGGGTTCAAGACGGAAGGAGCATATGTCGTTCGATCTCTGAGAAAGCCGGGGAAGGTGACAGACGCCGGGTGCCTGAGGTAAGGTAAGGTAAGGTAAGGTAGGGAGCACGTACGGAAGGCAGGCAAGCTGGGGTCAGGTGGGGTTTCCTTCCCAGCAAGACTCGCAGCAGGCGCACTGGCACTCGAAGCAGGCGCACTCCAGTGGCCGACTGCAGTGGCCGACTGCAGTGGCCGTCTTGGTCACGGAGCGGGACGAATCAGTTCACTTCTGGCGTGCCCGCCCCCTCCGTCGACCCTGTCACAGCATCAACAAGCGTCGGTGGTGTGAGGGCGAGGCCACTGGAGCCGGTACAAACTGCAGCCTGACGTGACGGCGGAGCAGAGGCGAGCCTTGCCAGAGGTGGGCAGGTCTGGCGGTGGTGGGGTGTCGCGCTGCCCCTCCGACGTCACTGGCCCTGTGACCTCACTGTTCGCCCCTGTGCCTCTGCTCGACCCTCACTGCTTACGTACCGCCGGCCGGTGGCTGACTGCTCGACCTCGCGCTGCTTACCTGAGGCGCCTCGCCCAGTCAGCTCGGTGGAAGCAGCATCTCTTCTCCTTGACTTGTGCGTCCGCCTCGCCCTCTCCCTTGCTCACTCTCATTTGGCAGAAGGATCGTACCCATGCATGATGTACATGTACGGCCTCAGGCCACCCTCAGGATGCCAAATCGCCCTGCACCAGAACCTTGAGCCGCCGACGATGGCGGCACCTGGCGCACTGATCGTAGCTCACAAAGTACCTGCCGTACGGCCAGAGTCAGCTGCCCAGCCGGCCCGGTCATCTGGCACCCGCGACGAGAAAGTCCAGCAATTTGTGACAAATCTGGCCGCGACATGGCACTCGCAAAACTATACTCCAGTTGTCGTCGTCGTCGTCGAACAAAATGAGCCAATGGACCAGACCCCGTCGCAACATGTTTCACTCAGATCGATGTTCTGTCCTAAATCAGGGCTAGAACGCGAAATTGTTCCTCCGCACACAGACCGCATCGTCCCTGTCTCGACCCTCACTCTAATCGAAGCGCAGGCAGGCCGGCCGGCCGGAAGCCTCAAACGTAGAAAGAAAGACAGACAGATAGGATAAACCATGCGGGCCACGGGACGGGAAGGAGGTCAGACCCAGACGCCCTACTTGTACATCTGGTTCCCCTTCCTGTCGCGGCTTCATTATCGGTACTAGTCGCCCGGGCTAGTGGCCTGACATCGCCTGATTTTCGATGGCCAAAAGCAAAGAAAGGTGTCGGGTGACAAACCACTGAATCCTCGCTGAGAAGCTGAACGCGTCGAAGTTCAGCGTCTGTCGCACCGCGTAAGATTACGCTGACAGAGACGGTTCGCAGCTCGTCGAGCGAGACGCGTCCATTGGTCTTTGGAGATCCGGCTGTCGGCAGCCGTATTCTGTGCTAGAGATACGACCCTACGAGTCGGCAACCGGAATCCCACGTCGCTGCATCCCCGAGACCGAGGATAGGGCAGCCAAGAAACGCCAGCCACCAGGAGCTTGACAAGTAGCACGAGTCGACTGACAGCCACCACGAGCGTCAAGCCAACGCTTGCCGATTAGGCTATCAGCGCGGCCAGTCACACGGCCGAGCCCCTTTCGCCGCCGCGACGCCGTCACCGTTCGTCGGATGGCGAGCAGGAGACGCTACTGCAGGAACAGCGGGCGGTGCGGAAGACGCCAGAGCACGGCGGCATTGCGGGTCGGAAACATCCAATGGTCGGAAACTCAGTCTTTTCTCTCGCCAAACTCCTGCTCCTCTCCTGAGCTTGCCTGTCAGCAATCGTTGAAATTGTGTGCGGCTAACGTCGCTCGACTCGTACACATATTGCGGCAGGGGCACCTACGTGAAGACGCACCTGCTGCGGCGAGTCCGATGAGGACTGCCAATCTATCTCGCTTTTGGGGGGCTGATCTCCTGTACAGTTGGATAGCAAAGTTGAAATGTCGCCACTGATCATTTCCTCATCGAGAGAACCGTTTCCCCAAAGGCCAGCATCGACCAGCCCCGGGGAACCAAGCCTAAAGGGCGCCGGGCCCAGGGCTAAAATAGACCAGGCTTAGCATCTCTGAGGCCCTTGCTCGAATCTCGTCTTGATACTCTCTGAGCAGCGTTCAGCGAGGGGGCAAAGGGCAATCAGTGTTGCTCAACTTTGACGACAGTCGCCTCTGTAGGGACGAGCATCAATCTTGGTCACCTGTCGCTTAGTTGCTGCTGCTCATCAGCAAGACGGCGACGTTGTGGAGCAGACGGCCATGCATGAACATCTGACATGAAAAAAAAAGATAAAAAAACAGCAGCTCGTGCGCTGGCACAGGACGTCGAGGTCGAAGCGTGCATACGGCGGAGACTTATCGAGTCGGTGATATGCGCACGCAAGTCTGACCACAGCCATGGGCAGGGGGTTGTCCCTCTCCAGCCAGCCATCACAGGGGGGCCGGCAGCCAGTAAGAGGAAAACTGTGGTGAGTGTTTCCGTAGATGAGCAAACCCTAACCTTGGTTCGGGTCCCGAGGATCCAGAAATGGGACTTTGTCCGCCAGTTTTGGCCAGGGTACAACCAGGCTGACAAGCCTCGAGGTCTTGGATACGATGCTGCAAAGCCTCATGAGGACGCTCAAAACTTCGTTTGGTCCTCTACGCATGACGAGCGAGCCCCAGTTCTTGCGGCCTGCACTTATCATTCGTCCTCGCCTTGTTCTCTCTCTCTCCACTGTCGGAGGGGGCTACCCGATGAATGCAGCAGCAGCAGCAGCAACAGCAACAGTAACAGCAACAACAGCATCATAAAAAAAAAAATAATAACAACCGTCTAGGGAGCTTGTGTGTCAAGCAGGTACCTAGGGTCAGGCTTCATGCCCCGCATCTGTAGGCAAAACACGCACCAGACAGGGCAGACCCAGGTTGAGAATCTTGACAGCACGGGTGACGATTTGATGGTGGCACGTAGCGACAGGGCAAGGAAGGCCTCATACGCTGAGGTCAACGTGTCGCTTGGTCCCTCATTCTTGATATTGCCATCTGTCGACCAAACGCCACTGTGTACGCTCCACGGGTTTGCCAGCCTGTTGACCAAATGCCCCCCCCCCAACGAGTGATCCTTCATTGCTCCTGTAGCTGTGTGCGCGGCGTCCAGGAGCTGTCATACCGGCCGGAGCGTTCTACCGCAGGGTCCTCGCAGATCCTAGGTATCTTGATCAGGTACTGAAGATGGCAGACAGCGTGGGAGCGTGGGGGGCGAGTGCGATGAGATGGACGAGGGTACTCGTCATTGCAGAGGCAGTGGCACGCTGTGAACAGATCGAACTTCCATCGGCAGATATAGTATCGCCAGCCTTGATACGGTACCAATGAAGCCAAAGAGCCAGGTTCGTGGCGAACCAGGCTCAAGTCAGTTGCTTGCCAACTGTCACTTTCTTCTGAACCACCCCCTACCCCCTTCGCTGGTAGTTCCTGGCTCCCGGTTCCCAAAAGTTCAGGCTGTTGTCTTGCCCTGGAGTGGAGGAGCGGGGCACGTGTGGATTATTGGGCAAGGCCCCCCCCTTGTGGCCCCTCTTGCCTTTCCTCCACAGGAGCTGGTCTGGGCCAGCGACGGACGGGTACCAAGGGCCCAGATAAATGTCAGGCACGGGCCAGGAACGAGCCAGGCACAAGCCAGACACAGGTCGGACACACGGCGCCACAAGCACCCGCACATGTTTTTTGCGGGCAGCTGCAAGGGGTAATTGGCGCGTTTCTCTCTCACACTTCCAAAACACCCCTGGTTGCTCCTGCTTCCACAACTCCCACCCACCTACCCACCCAAACCGCCTTGTCTGTGCCAGCCTGTGGCAGCCGGGGGTGCTCCTGAGTCTTGCCTCCCGAGACATCAACCCACTGACAGCCTGCCTCTGCTCCCCACCACTCACACAGCCTTTTTCACCCAACGTCACGTTGCACAGAGACACTGTTGTGGAAAGGTCCATTGGCCACACGGAGTGCAATTCCGATGCCCCTCTCCTTGACTGTGCTTCTTCATCTTCATCATCATCTCAACAGCATCTATCCCTGGCCCAGTCTACCTAGACCCTCACCTGTCCACATACGACACCATCTCGGCGCCTCCCTCAATGTTCGCTGCCATCATTCCCACAACAAACAAATCAACAAGACAACAAAAACAAGGCCGAGAGAAACCAAACATCCAGTGATGGGTGGCCCCGTTATGTTTCCAAGCCCTCTGGGGCCGCGCCACCCACTCGCCCTCTGCACCCCAGCGCCCTTCCCTGCTCCGGGTTGGTCTTAAAACAGGTGCCGACATCGTCACCAACTCTGTCGTTCAGGGGGCCAGGGTGTTCCCTTTCAGGACCATGCCTGTTCGATTTCTCCGTCCGAGGCCCCGTGAGCGCCAAGGGCCCCGGTCTCTTACCCCCCTACTTGGGCTAGTCGCCCTGTCGATGATCGGATCACACACGTCGGCTGTCTGGCGATTTTTCTCAACTCAGTCAGCCAGTCTTTCAGCGCGCCTTTGTCAGTGCCGGTTATTACTCTCTCGTCCCTGAGGTGGGCTCTCGGACGTGGATTCGGCCTGTCTACCTGCGCCGCATCCACCTCCCATATATCCATTGATGCCCTCTTTTCCGCGTCATGCCACAGGGCCAACTCCCGCTTCCCTTCCCCCATTCTTGTAACCGCTGCCGGCTTCTTGGGTGCTCACGTCTCTCTCCTCCTCACTCGATCACTCCGCGAAACCTGGCTGACGCTGACGCCCGGGATTTGCGATGCATGCCAACCTCCTCCTGTGATCGACATCGCC